CAACTGTGACAACGCTCGGGGCGGAAAAGGCACTGCGACAGAGGAAACCGCGACGACGTCCGCGACTGGTGGAAACCCCGGCAGCACTTGCCAGTCCTTTGCCCTAACTGGCCAGACTGGAGCAGGAGGAGGAGGACGACGACGATGACGAAGAGTTCGTCATCGTATCCTTCACCCCTCTCATCCGCCTCATTTCCTCCTCTTCCTCCAGATTATGGCTCCTCCGTGCTCCTCTTCCATGTTCTTCCTCCTCCTCCTCCTCCTCCTCCTCTTCTGTTAATCCCTTGCGCGGGAGAGGGTGAAACATATACCATTACGGGGACAAGTGGGGCCAGGAAAGGACATCCAACCGCGTCCCGCCGGTGACCCAAGCCTCACCGCGACAACCCGCACCGCAACACTTGCAGAGAAGAGTGGAGGGGGCGGCGGCGGGGCCAGGGCGTGTGCCCTCAGGTCGTGCCCCCAGCTGCTGCGCCCGTGCGTTGCCCCCCAACTCCCACCCCACAGGATCGCCCCCGTGTGCTGCCCCCGGGCGCTGCCCCCGGGCGCTGCCCCCTCCTCCAACGCATGCCCCTACTCCTCGCTCCTCTGTCCTCGTCCTGCCGTCCTCTCTCCCGCCCCCCCCGCGCCCGCTCGCAGCCTCGCCCCGCCCCCGCCCCCGTGCCCACGTTCGCTCCGAAGGAGGCGAGGAGTGGCGGGCCGAAACGGCCGGGGGGGGGGAAAGGCGAGGGACGGGGGGCGGCGGGGCAGTGGAGACGAGGCGGCGTGGGAGGAATGTCGCTGGAAGGGCGAGCGGAGGCTCCGCGGTCTTCGCCAGGCGCTCCGCGGCGCCCCCCCGCGGCGGGCGGGGGCGGGGCCCGCCGCGCCCGCGAGGGTCGCCAGGGCCCCGGGCCGCGTCGGCAGCTCGGGGCCCGAGCTTCCAGCGGTGCCACCGAAGCCCCTTGGGGCGCCGCCGGAGTTCCAAAGTGGGGCCGCCCAAAGTCCGCAGGGGCGCCGCCAACGAGATCCCCAGAGGGGCCCGCCCGCAGCTGCTGGGGGGGGGGGGGCACTCAGATGTCCAGGCGGGGCCGCCCAGATTCCAGAAGGCACCCGCGCAGAAATCCCCAAGGGCGCCGCTCAATCTTTGTGGCTGCCCAGGTTCGGAGACGCCGAAAGCCGAAATCTCGCAGCGCCAGCGCCCATCGTCCGCATGGTTTTCTACCCCGCCCAATCGTTCAACAGACAGTCAGAAACGGCCAGGCGAACTTGGATGTTGTTCGACCCCTCACACACTCTTGCCGGCTGGGAGATCCCCGCCGCGGGCGGCCGCAGCGTGGCTGGCGGGCCCAGCGATCCAGAGAGAGGAATTGCGGCACGCGGCTGGGTCGGCGGATCGACCATGACTCCATCGACTAGCACGGAGAGCTGGCGTGGGTGCCAGCGGCACGCGGCTGCAAGGCGTCCCGATTCTGGAAGGCGGACGTCGACGCTCGAGCAGTGGCGAAGCGTCCTGGCTCGCCTATAGGCCCACCCAAGAATGTTCTAAGAACCTTTAGTGGTCTGCACGAAATGCTCTTAGAACATTTCTGGCTGAGACTGTCTTGTTCGAACGCATCGAGTTCATATTCTAAGAACACTGCTTCTGCTCTTGGACCGTTTTGGGTGCTAAGAACATGTCGCGGTAGGCCTACAGGAATACCGGGACGGCCGGTCCCTGCTCAGGATGCGGGAGGCCTTAACCTTGCCGGGCTTGCCGGGATGCGGGGTAGCCTTGCCCGACCTTTATGGGGCTGCGCGTGGCGTGCCGTGCGACGTATTGCCACGTGCAGTGCGTTGGGGGCGCGTGGTCGATCGGGGCTTTCACTCTGCTCAGCGTCGGCGAAGCAATGAGTTGCACTCCGCCAGTCGAGGTGTGTTCTTGCCGGATACGCGCGGCTGCTGTTGTGGACTCGTGTTTCGGGGTCCGCGTTGGCAAGCGCATTGGAAGCTGGATCGATGCGTATATCGTGATCTCGATGGATGGTGATCTACCGATCGATGTGTACAGTCAACCCGCATAGTAAGGATGGACAACCTTCCCGAGGGTACACTTGCATCCTTGCCTCCTCGGTCCATCCTTCGCCGCTTTAGCTGGCCGCGCCCCTCTCGAAAAGCTTCGAAATGGGCGTCCAAGGCCCTTGCATCCTTATCGCGCATCCTTACTATACTGGTTGAGTGTAACGTAGGTTGGTCGAGAGCGATATCGTTGTGCTGCAAGAGACGACGCAGACTCGGCGCCAACCGCGGACTGAGAGCTGCATTCGTCCCCCGAAGCCTCCCCACCGCCGGAAGGGCGAGGGGCCTCCCCCTCGCCCCCTGCGCGCGGGGAGGGGCACGGGGGGGAGGGGGAGGAGAGGAGAAGGGGGGAGGGGGGAGGACAAGCTAGGTGCGCTCGCGTCATATCTGACGTCCTACCCCTCCCTCCCATCCCTTACCATGGCGCTGATTTTCTCTATCTGCGGACGCGTGTCGTAGCGGACCTGTGGCTCCGCGCGCGCGTGCGTAGTGGGTGGTGGTGCACGTGCGTGCGTGCGTGCGTGTGTGCGTGGTTGTCGTGGTGGTGGTGGTGGTGGTGGTGGTGGTGGTGGTGGTGGTGGTGGTGGTGGTGGTGGTGGTGGTGGTGGTGGTGATGGTGGTGGTGGTGGTGCTGGTGGTGGTGGTGCTGGCTGGTGGTGGTGGTGTTGGTACTGCGGTGGTGTGGTGGTGGTGGTGGTGCTGCTGGTGGTGGTGGTGTTGGTACTGGTGCTGGTGCTGGTGGTGGTTGTGGTGGTGGTGGTGGTGGTGGTGGTGGTGGTGGTGGTGGTGTTGGTGGTGGTGGTGGTGGTGGTGTTGGTGGTGGTGGCGGTGGTGGTGGTGGTGGTGGCGGTGCGGCGCGGTGGTGGCGGGCGTATGGGCGCGCGAGAAAAAGGCCCGCGCTGGGGCGAGAACGCCATCCTGAACGACGGAGGCCAAGCACCGATCCGAAAATGAGGCCCACGCTGCAGCGGGAGCACGATTCGGAACGATTTGGGAGCAGAAATGAGGCCGGCGCCTCAACGAGAGCAGCATTTTAGGAAAAAATGACGCCGGCGCCTCAGCGAGAGTCGTTTCCCGGGATTTCCCGGGCATCCTGTGTGTTAAAAAACAGTACGCGGAGGGTGCGCGGCCATCACCCGGACGCCATCAGGGGAAGGATTCGGGAGCAGAAATGAGGCCGGCACCTCAACGAGAGCAGCAGCATTTTGGGAAAAAATGACGCCGGCGCGAGAGCAGCATTTTGGGAAAAAATGACGCCAGCGCCTCAGCGAGAGTCGTTTCCCGGGATTTCCCGGGCATCCTGTTATTTCTTTGGTGCCTCTTTTTTTTTTTTTTTTTATAGTAAGGTTTTTGTTTAAAAAAACAGTGCGCGGAGGGTGCGCGCCATCACCCGGACGCATCAGGGGAAGAGGGAGAGTATATTCATTATTGAGTAATTGTGGAGGGGGGGGAGTGGGGGAAGGGGGGAGGGGGAGGGGGCAGGGGGGAGGGGACGGGGGGGGCAGCACACGGGGGCGGGGTACTTGGGGCATAGTGGGCAACGCGTGGGGCCAATGCGTGGTGGGGGCTGCGTGGGGCAGCGCCCGGGGGCAGCACAGCACGGGGGCAGCACCGGGGCGGGGGCGATCCTGTGGGGTGGGAGTGGGGGGGCAACGCACGGGCGCTAGCAGCTGGGGGGAACGGACTGAGGGGCACACGCCCTGGACCCGCCGTGCCCCCTTCACTTGTTCTCTGCAAGTGTTGCGGTGAGGGTTGTCGCGGTGAGCTTGGTCACCGGCGGACGCGGTTGGATTACTTTACTTCCTTATTGTTTGTTGTTTCGCGTGTTGGGCCTGGACCCCACCGCTCTTTGTCCCGAATGGTATATGTTCACCCTCTCCCGCGCAAGGGATTAAGAAGAAGAGGAGGAGGAGGAGGAGGAGGAGGCGGAGACGGAAAAAGCACACGGGGGCGGTACTTGGGGGCAACGCGTGGGGCCAATGCGTGGTGGGGGCTGCGTGGGGGCAGCGCCCGGGGGCAGCACACGGGGGCAGCACACGGGGGCGATCCTGTGGGGTGGGAGTTGGGGGGCAACGCACGGGCGCAGCAGCTGGGGGCACGACCTGAGGGCACACGCCCTGGCCCCGCCGCCGCCCCCTTCACTCTTCTCTGCAAGTGTTGCGGTGCGGGTTGTCGCGGTGAGGCTTGGGTCACCGGCGGGACGCGGTTGGATGTCCTTTCCTGGCCCCACTTGTCCCCGTAATGGTATATGTTTCACCCTCTCCCGCGCAAGGGATTAAAAGAAGAAGAGGAGGAGGAGGAGGAGGAGGAGGAGGAGGCGGAACCGGCGTCGGAGGTTGAGCAGGAGGAGTCTGAGGAGGATGTGGACGATGGAAGAGTTGGAGAAAAGACAGGGAGCAGGAGGAGGAGGAGGAGGAGGAGGAGGCGGGGGGGAGGAGGAGGGCCGAGCATGAGGAAGGAGAAAAAGAGGGATGATAGAGGATGAAGGAAGGAGGAATCGACATCGGTGCAGGAGCTGGTGCGGGATGACGGGCAGGAGCAAGAGCGGGAGAAGGACGAGCGACGAGCGTGAGGAGACGCCGTCGGGCGCGGCGATCCGATTTCGCTTTGAATCGGGATCGGGAGGAGGAGGCGGAGGAGGCGGAGGAGGAGGAGGAGGAGGCGGAGGAGGCGGACGAGGAGGAGACGGCGGCGGAGGCGGAGGAGGCGGAGGAAGCGGAGGAGGAGGAGGAGGAGGAGGAGGAGGAGGAGGCGGAGGAGGCGGAGGAGGAGGAGGAGGCGGAGGAGGCGGAGGAGGCGGAGGAGGCGGAGGAGGCGGCGGAGGCGGAGGAGGAGGAGGCGGAGAAGGAGGAGGAGGAGGTCTGGGATTGGTTGGCGATCCTGTCTGTTCCCGATCCGATCCCGCGTCGCGATCCGATTCCGCTCTGGCCCGGCGGGCTCGCGGCCCCTCGGAGCGGCCTGCCGAGGTCTTCGTGCTGTTCGTCATGGTCAGCGCCCGCGCCTACGGGCTCGAGCCGCTGGACTGCCCGCGGGCGGCGGCGGCGGGCCTGATCGTGTGCGGCGGCGTCCTGCAGGCCAGGAGGAGTGCCAAAACGGGCCACCACGAATCAGCATCAGCATCAGCATCATCATCATCATCATCATCATCATCATCATCAGCAGCAGCAGCAGCAGCAGCAGCAGCAGCATCAGCATCAGCATCAGCATCAGCATCAGCATCCTCATCCTCATCCTCATCCTCATCCTCAGCAGCAGCAGCAGCAGCAGCAGCAGCAGCATCATCATCATCATCATCATCATCATCATCATCATCATCATCATCATCATCATCATCATCATCCTCATCAACATCAACATCAACATTATCGTGCCAGAACGGGCCACAACGAATCATCAAGGCCCAGGGAGGGAGGCAGATGTCAGAGGAGCAGGAGGTCATGATACCTTGCCCAACGGAAAGAGATTCTGGGGAGGCCTGTCCAAGGGGGGTTGTCCGATGGGGTTGTCTGGATCCCCGCTGGGTTGTCCAAGGGGGTGTCCGGGCTATGTGGTCTTGTCATCGGTAACCAGGGTAGTCCGGGTTGTTTGGGGGGGGCGTCCGGGGGGGGGGTGGGGATTTGTTGTTTGGAGTTTGTCTCCATTGGACATAGTGGTGATACGTTCCAGGATCTCCAAGGCCTGCTGCATCCCCCATATAGTACCATGACATCACTCTCGCCCTCAGATGGTGCGGGCCTTCTCAGAAGGCTCAGAAGGTCTCCGGCCTTCGGCCCTCTGAGCAGCTTTCCAAGCCTGTCTCCGAAGCCACAGACGGCTCGGCCATGAAGGTCACACGACGTGGCCGATCTTGCCGTTCTGCTGCTGCGACCAGCCCGTGCCCGAGTGCTGTAGCGGGGATCACCCCCAGCACCTCCTGGGCGGGCGATGGGAAGGCGCGTCGGAAGGGGGGAGGGGGGCTAAATTTGCTGCATGCAGTTCGCTGGTTTTGGTCCGCCGCCAGGCGCATGCCTCGATGCATGGCCGCAGGAGGCAGCGGGAAAACCATTTTGGCGTGCGGCGGATTGGATGCCCCCCGCGGGCCCCAAGAGTATACACCACCACCACCACCTCCTTTCTTCCTCCCTCCTCTTCCACATCTTTCACTCCTCTTCCTCCCCCCTTTCCTGGGAGGGGGAGGGGTGAGGGGTGAGGGAGAGATGGTGGGGGTGGTGTATATTTTGGAGCCCCGTACCCCTCTTTGCCATTCCCCCGTTCGTCCACGGCGACCCCTTCGCCTCCCAGAGGACGGGTGCTAGAGCAGGGGTGTTGATTCCCTCGCGTTGCTACAAGGTTTTTATGGGGGCGATCGGCCCAAGACGGCTAGGAGACGATGGGGCGCAGGCTGTGCAACCAGAGGTGGGGGGGTCGGGGGCTGTGAGCCTCCCGAAGCCCCGGAGGGGGTCGCCGTCCAGGGAAGGGATCGCCGCCAGACGGGGGAGGTCAAGTGATCGTGTTCTTATTTATCCATTGTTTTGCCGATCGGCGCGGGCCCTCGGACCCCCCCTCCCCCCCCGTGGAATAGATCCTGGCTGCTTTTGGCGCCTGTTTCAGGCATGTGGAGCCTCCTCCATAAGACGCACTGCCGCAAGCAGTCGCATGAAGCAGAGGCCCGGACCCCCCCCCCCTTCTCCCCCCTCCCCCCCTTGCGCCCAAGGTCGAGGCGCCGAGTAAGAACACGCCTGCCAAGACACGCGGACGACACTGGAGACCTGCGAGCGACCCCGCCGCGCACCCCCCCCCCTCTGCCGACGGAAAAGCCTACAACGCCACCCCACCCACGGCCCTCACATTGCGCCACGGACATCGGGCGCCGTAGCGTATACCACGCAAAAGCCCACGCCAGATCTCCTGGGATACGCTTAGCCCTGTGGGGCCGTAGGTGGGGCGGTGTCGTTTGTGTTCTGGTCCATTCTGGCGGCACCCCGGCAGGGCTTGAGCGTGGAGCAGAGGGTAGCGGGCACGGGGGCGCAGGAGCTGCAGCTACAGCGCCGCGCTGCCCCTGGCGCCCACCCCGCGGGCCAGAGGGGGCCTGACTTAAGAGCCTCGAGAAGCCTGCAAGAGCGCAGGAGTCACGAGGCGGTCGGGGATGGCAGGATCACGCCTGCCGGAGGTGCTAGCTCCAGCTCCGCACTTCGTTTCTCTTACAAGCCGGGGGGGGGGCCTTACCCCCGGGCCCCCGAGGGCAGGGAAACCGCCGCGGTTGGAAGCAGGGTGGCCCGAGGAAACCCCCAGAGGCCCCCAGAAGGCGCCCAGGAGGTCTCCAGAAGGCCCCAAGAAGCCCTGAAGCACTTTCGTGAGGCCCCCAGACGTCCTCCAAGGAGGAGCCCCCGCAAAAAGAGCTTGGGAGGATGGGGAAGAATTCGCGGCTCGGGGTGCAAAGGGCGCCTTTTGGACTCGAATCCCTCTCTCCCTCTCTCTCTCTCCCTCTCTCTCTTCTCCATATTTCTCCTATATTTTTGCAAGCCGGGTGGGTGGGATCCCCCCCCCAAACCAGACCTCCAGGACTCCAGGATCTGGGATTTCCGGGCCCCCCGGACACCGTTGCCGAAGGTCCCCCGGCTCGTCCCGGACCTCATCTCAGGGCGCTCAGCCGGGTCTTGCCCGCAGACCCCGAGCGATCAGGCGATCAGAGAGGCCGAAAAGAGACCCAAGAAAGCACAAGAGCGCTCCAAGAAGGACCCAGATGGCTTCCAGAGGCCTCCAAGACGGCCCAGGAAGCCCTCAACAGGACTCCCAGAATGAAAAATCGGTTCATTCCCTCAGGGAAACGTAATTTTCAGCATATTCGCTGTTCGGTTAGCAGCGTCCAAAACAGCCCAAACGGCTTCCGGTATCGCCCCAAGACTGTCCAAAGAAGCCCCAAATTGGCCAAAAAGTAGCCCGACAGGCCCTCACAAGGCTCCCAAGAGAAGCCCAAGAAGGCCATGGGAGGCCCCCGAAAAGGCCATGGGAGGCCACCAGGAGGGCCCACGTAGCCCCCGTAAGGTCTCTTGAGGGCCCAAGCTCCCCAACACGGCCCAAGATGGCCCCTGGACGGCTCGAGAGGGCCCCAAGCTGGCCTACCACGGGCTCCAACAATGCCCACAGGGCGTGCTCCACCAAACTGACCCGAATCCCGGGTTCGCAACCACATTTCTGGGAAATTTGTTGCGAACCCAGGATTCGGTGCATTCCCCAATAATTACTTATTTTCGCGTGCCCCGTTGCGACCCGTTGCAACATGACATCCTCGGCTTGGCATTGCTTTGTGCTTTGCGGCATTGCTTGACATTGCGTTGGTTTGCTTGGCATTCATTCGCATGGCTTTCCTTCGCATTGCGCACTGGGGCACCTGAGCCACGCGCCGGCCAATGTGCGGGCCTGCGAAGGCCTTTTGTCGTTATGCACGGCCAGATATTTCTGCAAGCGTGTACGTACACATGACCACCCCCGACGGCGCCATCTTTTTCCTGATCCTCCTCTGTGTCCTACTCCTCCTCGAACGACCAACATATGCAAAACCTGAAGGAGCAAGGTGCATGGCGCGAAGCGCCAATGCAGTCTTGTATATAATATCAACAAATAGGCCGGGTCCCGAGGCGTCCTCCACCTCGCTCACATTTGGTGTACATTGCCGGTACCGCGCTTCCCGGCCTCCCCGGGAGCTCCCAACATGCCCAAAGACAGCCCAAGACGACCCCAAGAAGCCCCCAGATCGTAAAAGAAAGGCCCAAGACGCTCCCAAGCAACCCAGGATAGCTTTCAGGCGGCTCTCCAGGTTCCCAGGAGGCCTCCAAGAGACCTCAAGAGAGCGCCGAGAGACCTCCCGAGAGCGCCCAGAGAACCTAAAATCGTTAATTTCCATTGTTTTGTTTTCACGGTTTTTGGCACCATCTCATGCTTCCAAGGCTCCAAGACGGCCGAAGAGGCCCCCAAGACCGCCCAAGAGGCCCCCAAGAAGGTCCCAAAACGGGCTAAGACGGCCCCAAGACTGCCAAAGAGGCGCCCCGGAGAGCTCCAGACCACCCCAGAACAGGCCCAAGATGAGCCCAAGAGCGGGAGCAGGAGGCCGCCAGAGACCTCCGAGAGAACTTCGGGACCCCCCAGAGGCCTCCCACACACCCCAGACCCCTGAAAGGCCCCCCAAAAAGTGCCGACGAGGCCCCCAAAACAGCCCAAGAGAGCTTCGAGAGCCGTCCCGAGAGAGCCCGAAGAGGGTAAAAACGTTGATGTTCAGTGATTTTTGTCGAGCTTCCCCGACGAGGCCCCCCAAACAGCCCAAGAGAGCTTCGAGAGCTGTCCCGAGAGAGCCCCGAGAGGGTAAAATCGTTGCTTTCCAGTGGTTTTAGTCGACGCTTTTCGCCTTCTCAAGTTTTCCCGCTTCCAACGCTCCAAGACCGAGGAATTTGGGGAACAAAAAGGGAATTCCAGAGATTCCTTTTTTTGTCAAGTTGGGGCTCCTACTCCCTATCCTCTTCCTCGAGCCCCAGAAGACTTCGGGGTCACATGCAAACATGGTTCGGGAATACTGTTGAACTCTCTGATGCTGTCTTGGCACTCTGTTGGATCCTCTTCGTGTCCTCTTGGCTGCCCCTGTAGCCATGGTAGACATCGAGATCCCATGATCCCATGAGTAGAAGCAGTGGAATTTTAGAATTGTTTTTTTTTCAAACTCACCCCCTGTTTATGTTTGCCCGAAGACCCCGAGAGGCATCCCAACAGACCGTGGCCTGCATGCAGACAACGTCTAACCCACAGCCCAGGCACTACAACTTGAAAAAAGGAAATCCCACCATTCCGTTTTTTCCAAGTTCGCCCCCTTGTCTATTTTTGTACAACAGACCACAATTAAGGCCCCAGAAAAGAACCCAGGAAGCCTTCGAGGGCCCCACATCGTTGAATACCTAACGGCAATTAATGATTCATTGGCTGACGCCGCACCGCCGACCCCTTGGGGCGGCAGTAAGAGTGAACGACGGAGTTTGCGGAACGATTTCTGGGGAATTTGGGGATTTAGATTTCTTGGGATTTCGTCAGGGGCGGTTGGCGGGCCTCTCGGGGGCATCGTGGGAGCCTCTTGGGGGTCTATTGGCGTCTTCTCGGGTTTTTTCGTGGCCGAGGGCTCGAAATGTTCACTCGGGTTCCCCCTCTGGGCCGCCTCTATGGGGCCGTCCTGGAGCCCTCCTGGGTCGTTTTGGAAGCTTCTGGGGCCGTCTTGGGCCGTCTTGGAGCCATCTTGGGGGCCTCTTTGGCTATCTTGGGTCGATCTTAAAGGCTTCTTGGGTCGTTGTGGGCCTCGTGAAGGCTCAAGAGGCGAATGTGCTACAAATATACGTTTTCCCTCGGGAATCAGACGATGTTTGCTTCTGGAGGGCCTCTTGGGACGCCTCTTGGTGACTTCTTGGGGCGTCTTGGGGGCCACTGGGACAGTCTGGAGGCGATCCCGGGCGTCTTGGAGCGATCTTTCGGCGACTCGTAGCCCTTGTGGACCGTCCGGGAGGCCTTTTGGGGCCCTCTTGGCCTGTTTGGGGGCCCCCTGAGGCTCCAAGGGTGCGGCCGACACCTTTGCCCACTATCCCCCCCCCCAAACCGGTCGGACCGGGCTCCCAGGGGAGGGGTTTGGGGAGGGGGAAGCATCTCACACGCCGTGACCCCAAGGGGTCGGCGGATTTTTGCGTTTTCGTAGTTCCCCTTCTATACGATTCCGAGGCTTGCGCAGGGCCTCCAGGAGAGTCTCTAGATGCAAGAAACGATAAGGATGATATTCCATGTGTTCGCCCATCAAGCCTAGCTAGAACTTGAGCGCGCGCGAAGCGCGCGCGCTGGTTCTAGTATATGTGTATATTTATACACATATACATATACATGTGTATACATATATACACATATATATACATGTACAGATAATCCCTCCTTCTCTCTCTCTCTCTTTCTCTCTTTCTCTCTCTCTCTCTTTCTCTCTCTCTCTCTCTTTCTCGTTTCTCTCTCTCTTCCTTCATCCAAACTGCGCCGATGGTTTTTGTTCGCATGTGTCGGGGATCCTTCGGAATAGTTTCATGGCAAAGAAACGTCAGTAGGGAACCCTTCTCAAAGAACCTTCGTAGTCATGAGTCCTGAGTACAGGATCTTTACTGAGGACCCCTTAGTAGGGATCCTGAGTGAAGAATGTGCGATAAGAAACCCTTTTTCTGGAGTTTTCAAGAAGGGGTCATTGTTCTGGAATCCTCCGTAAGGAGATGTTAGTCAAGAGTCCTTACTGTGGAAGCTTTCGTAAGAAATCCTTCGTAAGGAGTCTTCGCTGAGGAATTATATGATTAAACGCTCGCTAGTAAGGAATCAGCAGCAAGTAATCCTGAGGACATGAGTTACAACTAAGGATTGCTTATATGACAGCCTTCGTAATGAATCCTCAGTGAAGAATCCTCAGTACGGAACCCTTAGAATGGAACCCTTCTTCAAGAACCTTGGTTTCAGGGAATCCTTAATTAGGATTTCATGGTACGGAAGCCTTAGTAATGAATCCTTTTGGTAAGGAGTCCATACTCTGGAGTTCTTATTAAGAAATCCTCCGTGGGATCCGCAGTAAGGAATTCTTAGTCGGGAATCCTTACGCCGGATTCCTTAGTATCGAATCCTCTGTCGGGCTTCCCTTCGAAAGGATCACCAGGGATGCCTTATTCAGGAACCCCCCGTAAGGAACCTAAAGTAGGGAACCCTTCGTAAAGATTTCCTACAGCCGTTTTCTTTTCCAGCTTTGAAGTGTCAGGCCCATGTGGATGCCCTCAGGGCATGGCATCACCATCTCCGACCAGATTCCCTCGTGGCACGCTTCGGGTGCGTGTTGAGGCCATGGTGAGGCCATGTGGAGGCACTCAGGACAGGACCACAACATCCCCCCGCCGTGATTCCCGCGAAACAGGCTCAGGTTTCGTTCGCGTTGGTGCCGCGCTGAAGCCGCGTTGACGCCCTCAGGCATGGGCTTCAACAGCCCCCCGACGTGACATCCCCAAATCATGCTTGGATTCTGGGGCCCATGTTCAGGCCATGTTGAGGCCCCCAGGCCAGGGCCCATTCTCTCCCTGACGTTAGATTCACACAACGGGCAGAAATAACAGTGCCCATAGTGAGGCCATGGCGAGGCCACGTTAAAACCCTGTCGTCAGGGCCTGAACATCCTACGAAAGAGTTCCCGCAAACTATGCTTGGATTATGGGGCCATGTGGAAGCCCTGCCGTCAGGGCTTCCGCATCTCCTCGTGGACTCATGTGCGGCATGCTTGGATTCGGGGTCCATGTTGAAGCTGCGTTGAAGCCCTGGGGCTTCGCCATCTTCCTATTTTCCGCATCTCCTCGTGGACTCATGTGCGGCATGCTTGGATTTGGGGTCCATGTTGAAGCTGCGTTGAAGCCCTGGGGCTTCGCCACCTTCCTATTTGGAAATCCGCAAAATGCACTTGGATTCTGGGGCCACGTTAAGCCGTGTTGAAGCCCTGCAATCAAGGCATCGACGCCTCCTCGATCGGAAATTCGCATAGTGTGTTTGGAATCTGGGGCCGTGTTGAAGGCATGTTGAAGCCCTGCCGTCAGGGCTTCAACACCCCCCCGATTGGAAATCTGCATAGTTTGTTTGGAATCTGGGGCCATGTTGAAGCCGTGTTGAAGCCATGTTGGAGCCCTGCCGCCAAGGCTTCAGCATCCCGCCGACTGGAAATCAGCATGGCATGTTTGGATTCTTGGGCCATGTTGAAGCCGTTTTGCCTGCCGTCAGGGGTTCAATATCCCCACGATTGGGAATCCACATGGCATGCTTGGATCCCAGGGCCATTTTGAAACTACGTTGAAACCCTGCCGCCAGGGCTTCAACATCCCCCCGGCTGGAAATCAGCATAGCTTGCTTCGATGATCGGGCCGCGTTGAAGCCACGTTGAAGCCTCCACGACAGGGCTTCAACATCCTCCCGACGGGAAATCCGCAGAGTATGCTGGGATTCTACGGTCACGCCGAAGCCGCGTTGAAGCCCTGCCGCCAGGCCTTCAACATCCCCCCGATTGGAAATCCGCATGCGCGCTTGTAATTTTCGAGCCGCGTTCAAGCTCTGCCGATTTGGGTTGCGATGATATATGACGGGTGCGCATGCGGGCCTCGGCGCGCACCGTGCAGGGTGACCCGGGGGGGGGGGGGGCTTGGCGGACATGGCCTGTTGCGACGCGCCAGCATTACAGCCCGGTCCTCCTCCCGAAGTCGGACCGCCCGCGGGGCGGCGCGGCGGGCAAAATTTGGTTCTTATTCCCCCCGGTTGATGCCGGACCCCCGCGGGTTGGCGGACAGACGTCATTTCTCGCGTGGGCGCCGTGTCAGCCTTGCAACTAGAAGCGAAGGCGGTCGCCGCCATTGTTCTTCAACTTTCTAAGGGGCCTCGGCATGGACCTGCAGAGGCCGTGGGCGTCGTGGAACTCGTTGATGCATTTTTCGCAACGTTTGATGCCTTTGTTGATGCTGCGCCAGTTCTTGCGCAGATCTGCCGTCTTGCGCAGTGGGTGCGATTGGAAATGCTTCCGAACTCACGTGGCCGCTGTCTCGCGCGCGAACAGGTCAGCAAGGTCCGACGGTTGCCGCGAGGCGCCCTCTCCCGCGAACGGCTTCAGTTGTTCTTCTGCAGCGCGTCGTTTGCGCGCGTCGACGACGGCGCCGGCGCTGACGCGATGTAATCCGGGCCCGCGATCTGAGGGCGCGCGCTTGGGGGCCTTGTTTGTTGGCGCCGCGCGCGTTGCGCAAGACCTGGGGAGCGTCCTAACAAATTTCGCCGCCCGCGCCTCCTCTGCCCCTGGCCCGCGCCCGCGGGCGCGAGGCGGAGTTTCCGCGGGCGACCTCCCCGGACCGCCGAGATTCCCGTCGCCCCATTGCTGTTTTTTGTTTGCAAATCGCGCTGCGCAAAGATTCCTAGAATGCTGCTTCGACTTCTTCGTTATCCATAGTTGTCCTTTGCCCTTCTTGCCCTGTTTCTGATGGGGCGCCGCCTGGCGGCTTCAGGCATGATCGCCCAGCGAGGGTCTATCCGCGCGCAGTTCCTTGCATGCCGCGCGGGCGCGTGGCCCAGATACAGCATCATCTTAGCCCCCCGTGTCATTAGCCGGCAACTGGTAGCCCCGCGGATCGCCAAGGTCGCTGTCGTTGCGCAGTGCGCGGAAGATAATCAACGTGCATCTCTGCGCAAAAGGCTCGGGCGTCTTTGGGCTGATGGCCGCAGCCCCAGCTCGGCGGATCACGCGTTGCGCTGTCGGCCCGCGGTCTTCGCGTCTCCATGCCATGGCGGCCTCCGCCGCGCAGTTGGGTCTCGGCCCTCGGCTTCTCTGCGCGCGCCGGCGGCTTCCCCCGGGGGGGGGGGCCGCTGCCAGCTCGTGCTCAAGGCGCCCGCGGATGAAGATTTGCGATGCCGTAAGGCGGCGACGGCGCGGCCGCCGGACAGCCCGCAGCGCGCGATCCCACTGAGAGTCGGGAGTTGAATCAGGAGAACGGCCGAAGGGAGCCTCGGTGGGAGATCCTGATTCAGGAGTCCCTGGTGGGCAGCCCTAAGTAGGGAATCGTAAGTGAGGATTTCTGGGCGAGGAGTCCTTGGTAAGTGATCCTGAGTAAGGGACCCTGCGCAAGGAATCCTCAGTAGCGGTCCTTAGCGCGGAAAACGTGGAAGAAACGTTGTTGCGGAATCTTGAGTTGGGGATCATGTGTAATGCGCGCTGATTGCGGAATCCCTGCTGGGCATGGCTTCGCGAGGAATCGTTCGCGAGGGATCATCAGTCAGGAGTCATGAGCCAACGGGTCTTAGTAAGGAGCCAGTCGTCAGGATTCCTTACCAATGAATCCTGAGTGTGGAGGCTTTAGCCAGGAATCCTAAGTACGGAGCCCTTTCTACGGATTCCATAGCATGGAATCATTGGTGCAGAACCACCCTTTGCAGAAGTCCTCAATCAGGAGTTCATAGTAAGAAATCTTGAGTCTACATGAAGTCCTTCATCTCACAGACAGTCAGGTACATTCCGTGCGATTTGCTTGGACTGGAAGAGCGACTCAATCAACGCGCGACCAGGGCCCGAACCTCAAGAAAGCACCGACGAGAAAGTTCTAGAAGGATCCGCTTGAGGACAGGTCCAGAAGGAGCCGTCTGAGTAGTGCTCGTGAAGGACCGCTTGAGTAGAATTCTAGAAGGCACTTTCCCCTCCTGTCGCGCCTGCTCCGCGCCCCTGCGCAAGTCGTACTCGGAGTCCTTCCTTGCCCTTTTTATGAATGTTATACTAGGGTACGGTGGTCCGATAGGATCCGTGCCAAACGCGTTATTCTCCCACCATTCGGACCCGTCCAGAACCCAGCGGACCCGTGGCGGATCCGCCCACGGATCCGACGCCAGAGGCGTGGTTGACACTCCGGAACGGGGGCCCTCGTCAACGTCGGTTGGTGCCCCCTATTCGTTTTCGGGCGCCCGACGCTGCACCCATCGCCCGCGGCCTACAGCCGCACCCTTTTTCCCCAGGCTGCCGAGGCCGACGGCCCAACGGCGGCCCTCGTCAACACCTGCTGGGGCCCCTGCATTTGTTTTCGGGCGCCCGACGCTGCGCCCATCGCCCGCGACTTGCCGCCAAGCCTTTTCCCCCCAGGTTACCTGGGCCGACGGCGCTTGGCCTGGCTGGAAAGATAGTACTTCGTGCGATTTGAGACGTCGGACCGAACTTTCAAATCGCACCAATTGACCTGATTGTATGTAAGAAGAAATCCTTAGTATGGAGTCCTGCATAGTGAATTTCTAGTGCGGACCATTTAGTGCGGAATCGCTATTGAAGAACACTTTCTAAGAAACCCTTCATCATGATTTCACCGTAAGGAATGAAAGAGCGCGCTCGTGGCACACTCACTAAAAGGGGGCCCCAGCTTCGAGCCTCCCCCCCCCCTCCATTGGAAAGGTGGGGGGGGGTCTGGAGCTCCCCCCCCCTGTCGCTTCCATGTTTTAGCTGGGGGGGGCCCCTCCTGCTGTCCTTTTCGCCCTCCCTCCCTCCCTCTCTCCGTGTCGCCCTCCCTCCCTCCCTCTCTTTTTGTTCGCCCCCCCTTCCTCCCCCCTACCCCCTCCCTCTCTCCTTTTCGCGTTCCATCCCTCCCTCCCTTCTCCCGACCTGCCTATGCGGCGGCAGGCCAGTCGATGTTCAATGTTCCACGTCCCTATTCCCATCCCTCCTCCCATGGCCCTGTCTGCCCTCGGTGGAGCAGCAGGAGGAGCGCGGCTCCAGCACGCCCACGGCGCGCTGCTGATGATGGCCGCCATGATGCTCGGGTCGCAACGGTGGGCGCTCATCCAGATGGTGGTGCAAAGGTCAGCCCGCAGAAGGCATTTGTACGCCATCGTCCTTGGCCATGAGACGGTGTACGGTAGGTCCGCGCCGCGTTGATGCGGCAGCGGCCTTGGCGCGGGCGTTCAAGATTGAACGCCGCTAGGGGCCAAGAGTCGGCTTGTCTCGAGCGTCTCGAGCGATCTGCGCCGTCGGAAAGCCCCGACTGCTCGGGGTTGAACGATCCGCGCGGTGTGAGACACCAACGCGCTCGTTGCCCTCCTGGTCTTGGCCAGGAGGGCGTGTGTCTGCATACCACGGCAGAGCACAGTGGCCCTGGCCCGGACGCGCTGGGCGGTGTGCGAGTGCACCCCTGTCTCTGCCTCGGCTACACGCAAGAGTGACCTCTCGCCAGAGTGACCGTGGGCGCGGGCCTTTGGGAGCCGCGCAATTGGGGGGCGATACATGGGGGGGCAGCGAGGACTGCCGAAAGGATGCCGTTTAGGGCCCCTACAGGGGCCCTTTCGGGCCCAGAAGGGGGCCCCCTAGGGCCCGAGAAGGGCATTTTTCTTTTCCCCCATTCATCACCCCCCTTGATTCGCGCCCAAGCCCAATGGGGTCCCTCGATCGCTGAGGCGCGAAGCGGCAGCAGCGGCTTGCACGCTTGGGTTTGGCCCCCCCGCATCCCCCGTGAAGCCACGCACCAAAGGTGACTCTCCCCAGGGTCGCTCTTGCGTGTAGCCGGTTGCCTCAGGTCGCCCCCCTCCTCGGCCCTGGGGCAGCTGACCAAGCTGCAGCTGGCATCGCGCATGCTGCCCGTGGCCGGGTTCGTATGCCTGATTCTCGCCGCCGCCTTCGAGCCGCTGGCCTTCTCGTGGGAGGCCCTGGGGCAGCCGATCTTGCGGCTGAGCGTCCCGGGCAGCGGGCGGCCCAAAACTCGAACCTAATTCCACCAGACTCCTCCCAGGGTAAGTAGTGCCCAACATCGCTTGCGCGGGAGGCACAGACAGTGCCCCTGGAAGGAGAAGCTAGGCAGTACGCGGTAATGAGCCGCTTCGCGCGATCCCCCTTCATCATCCTCCACCCCTCGGCGTCAGTGTGGAACGGGTGGTCTCAGAAATCAGGGCCACAAACCGTTTGGACCCGACGTTTCGCGCGCAGTACCTTCCAATATCAAGGCTTTGGGTGGAGGGGGAATTATTCAATTGATAGTTATAGTTCTTGCGCTTTCGTTCGCCACTACCACGATGCCTGGCCAGGGCCGTCCTGGGCACGATGCACGGTGCGTCCTGGCCATGGTTGGGAGGGTTTTTGGACCACGGGCATGGTGGCAGTGGTGGCGCATAAAGATCATAGGTGCCCTCTGCGGAGGGGCAGGGCCATGGGGTGGGTGGGGCTGGGGGATCGGGCAGTGCCCAGGAATGGCCGCGTGCATCGTGCTGCTCACCGTCGCCGAGCTGGGCGTGGTCCAGCGGACGTCGGCCGTGGCAGTGCAGGTGCTGGCGACGCTGCACCAGATCCCCGTAGCTTTTGTTGGGGCCGTGGTGTTCCACGAGACCGTGAGCCCGCTCAGCGCTGCCGGATTCGGCATGTGCGTGGTGGCCGCGCTCGTGTACGCGCTGGCCCGCCGCGCGGAGGCGAAGAGCATGCAGGCCGGGGGCGCGCAGCTCGCCAGCGAGGAGCACGACGGCGCAGACGTGCCCCCGCTCGGGGAGCTGGAGATGCGGGACGAGCGCTGGCGCTCGCTGGGCGGCGGCTCCCGCAAGAGGGTGGTTCGGGAGCCTCGAGATGGGGGTCAGTGCAAGCGGGGGTCAGCCAGAGCGCCCGACCTTGCAGGATCCTGCAGGGCCAGGGGCGTATTGACCCGGGCTTGGGTGCATCCTGCAGGATCCTTCGCGTTGACCCGGGTTTGGGTGCAGGATCTTGCAGGATCTTGCATGATCTTGCAGGATTCTGCAGGGCCTGACTAACCCGGGTCTGGATTGGCCCGCTGACTAACCCGGGTCTGGATTGGCCCGGGTCAGAAGGTCCCCGAGTGGTTGCCCCGTGGTGCCAACCGCACGCCCACTCCCGAGAGCTTGCCGGCCCTGCGCGGGCCGATCGTGCGACCCAGAGCAGAGGATCAAAACCTTGGTGTATTCTCCTGTCGGAGGTCGAGGCTCCACTCTGGAGCGAGAACCCCCGGGAGGCAGGCCGAGCCCTCGTCCTGAAGGCTGTGTGCCCTCTGGGGGCGTCGGGCAGGGCCCAGGGCAGTCGCGAGGAGGAGCGTGCTCCGCGCGCTCGGGGCGCTCGCCCGAGGGCGCCCCGGGGGCGCGCTGGGGCGGCCGCTTCGCCCGATGCGTCCGAGGGGGCTCGCTGCAGCTCTGCGAGGCTCCCCGGCGTCCGTCCTCGTCCGAGTTGGCCCTCGTCCCGCGCCGGTCGACCCCGGCGTCGCGCCTGCGCTCCCTCTCGGGGGTGCAGGGGTGCGGGGGAGGGGCTCCTGTTGAAGGAAGGATGGGAGGAGGAGGAGGAGGAGGAGAGGGAGGAGGAGGAGGAGGAGGAGGAGGTCTGCGATGCTCTCGCTCAACGGCGGATTGTGCTCGGTCGTTCTTCTCCCCCGCGCCTCGACCCTGGTGCTCTGGTACTTTGAGGCTTTGCCGATGCGGTATCGGCATTCGCCACGCCCACCGTGAGGCAAACGAAACTTTGTTCGTCAGCGGCGAGGCGGCGAGCTCCGCTCCAGTGAAAAGCCAGAGAGGGGCACAAACTAGCGAATTGGCTGGCGGGCAGAGGGGGGGGGACGGCCGAGGGGAAGAGGGGACGCTCAGACGTCGAAGAGTTAGGCGATGAGCAGCCGGTGGGCAGCAGCAGCCAGGCGCGCAGGGCCAGAGCGCGGTGGGCGGCAAAGAGGCGAACGGATCACACGAACCTTTTCGGTGCGCGCGTGCTCTCTCAGTGCTGAAGTTGGGGGCGGGGGGTGCAGCTCCTGAATCCCGCTTGTCGCCCAAGCGGTGCGAACAGTTCCCGTTCAACCGCAGGGGGGACGGGTGGGCGGGGGGCTTTCGCACCCCAGCCAGAGACTGGAAGGCCTCGAACACCTTCGGCGAAGGTTGGATAAGGTCGGGAGGAACACGGAGCTTCCAACGTGAGGGTCGAACGTCCATCTTGGAGGCTTGTGAGCCCCCCTGGACTGCGGCCCATCGTGTGCAGTCTGTCGCTCTGCGTCCAGCCGTGGCGGCGAGAACCCCCAGAAACGCTAACAACTATCGGAATGAAGGGCAGAGCGTCTGCTTCTGCCGGCGCCGAAGAGGGGGGGGTCCTCGCGTAACCCCCTCTGCCGAAGTAGTTCACGGCACTCTATATAACGCCTCTGCGCGCTGGCAAACGACGACGTTGAGGAGGAGGAGGAGGAGGAGGAGGAGGAGGAGGAGGAAGACGACAACGACGACGACGACGACGGACGACCGACGACGGCGACAAACACGACCATCACGACGACGCTGACGCTAATAACGACGACGACGCTAACAACGACGACACTGACATTGACACTGACACTGACGACGACGACGACGATGAGGACGATCCTTGTCGTATGAGTTAACGACGACGACGCGTTTTCGTTTCCAGCGATTCGCGGTGACTTCCCAAGTCGGGCTTGTCCCTCCCTCTACGGGAGAAATGTGCAAACATAGTACATCTTATGTTTGACTATGTGTGTTTTGTTGTAGGTTTGTTTTTCTTCCAAAATCCGCCTGTAGGAGGATATGCACGACTTAAATAGATAGTCGGGGGTTCGCAGAGGGGGGGAATCCCAAGGTGGAGGTAGGCGGCGGCGAGCGAGGGGGTGAAATGGTTGGGGAGACGTAAGGCTGGAGTTCGACGGTTCGGTTTGCGTAGGGTGTTTGCAGCAGAAACTCGCGCCAAGTTTCAGATTGGGTCTCGTCATTTTCACATTGGCCCTGTCAGGGCAACTCGAGTCCCCCGAACCCGAGTTTTACGTCTCCTCTCCTCCTCCTCCTCCTCCTCCTCCTCCTCCTCCTCCTCCTCCTCCTCCTCCTCCTCCTGAAGGAGAGGGCCTTCTCAGAGGGCGGCGGGACTTCTCAGAAGTCCTCGCGCCTGTTGATGAGTTTTCTGCGCCTTCGGGGGAGGCTGAGAGAACTTCTCAGGAGGCCGTGGGACTTCCGAGCCTTCTGAGAAGGCACGCCCCTTCCCACCCTCCCCCCCCAGGGCTCGCCGCCTGGTTGGGCACATCCAGCTGGACCACACACGTCCTGCCTGTGCGGGCCGTTTCCGTTCAGCAGTTTCCTCCAGCCCCACCTCTGCCCCTACAGTGGGGACCCATGCCAAGGAACACCCTGCTTGCCTCCAGGGTGTCCTGGGTTTCTTGGGTTTTCGATGGTTTTGCGATGGAGAGCGCGACGTTCCCACGCCAAGAATCCATGGACGTCATGGGGTCTCAGGGTTGGGTTTCTTGTGGAAGGTTTCTTGTGGTCGGGCCTCCACTGTACCTGTGGCGCAAAATCGTGCTGGACGTCGCCTCCATTAGAAGAGTGAGCCGCGTCGTCTGTCTATCTGTCTAATACCGTATGTCGTGCACCTTTTTTCTGTCTCCGCTGTGCCCCCCCCACCTCTTCTGCACCCCCCCCCGAGATGGGCGTGCAGCGTTGGCGCCCCGGCCAGGTGGGCCACTCGTGGAGCGCCGTGGACGGCGCGGACGGCGAGAGCGTGCTGCTCGGCGCCGCGCGCGCCCTCCAGCAGCTCCGGCCTGGGCGCGACCAAGACGAGGAGGGCGTGGCGAATAGGTCGCCGCGGATCAGCCACGCGCAGAGGGGGGGCCGGGCAAGCCAGGCACGCTCGCGTCATGTCCGACGTCCTACCCCTGCCTCCCATCCCTTCCCATGGCGTAGAGATCCTCCCTATTCGCACAGTCGGATGTCGAGCAGGGCAACGGCAGAGCGTAGCATGCCATAGCATGGCGTGGCAGGGCAGGAGGGCCTTTTAGAAGCACCCCTGCTCCTTAGAGGGCGCGCGCCTTCCCTATGCAGTCGAGGCTGATCCGTAGGTCAACCCTGCCAAGGCGGGGGTACCCTTGGGTCCTGCGTTTCGCGACCCATGCCCTCTGCATTCCTGTGGCAGCGTGGCCCTCGGAAGTGCTTTCTGCCCTCGTTGTGTGCCCCCTCCAATCAACCCCGGCTGTACGTGTAGGGCCGGCGCCTTCTAAGGAGCAGCCTCCTCCTGAGATGCCTTCCCCCTCCCCCCGAGAGGAGGAGGAGGAGGAGGAAGAGGGGGAGGAGGAGGAGAAAGGGGAGGAGGAGGAGGAGGAGGAGGAGGAGGAGGAGGAGGAGGAGGAGGAGGAGAGTAGGAGAGGAGGAGGAGGAGGAGGGAGGAGGAGGAGGAGGAGGAGGAGGAAGAGGAGGAGGAAGGAGGAGGAGGAGGAGGAGGAGGAGGAGGAGGAGGAGGCGGAGGCGGAGGCGGTGGCGGTGGCGGTGGCGGTGGCGGAGGAGGAGGAGGAGGAGGAGGAGGAGGGAGGAGAAGGAGGAGGAGGAATATTAGAAAGACAGTCAATGATAACAATACTAGTAATAAGAATAGTAACACTAATACTAGTAATAAGAATACGAATAGTACGAATAATCATACTACTAATCATAATAGTAATACTAATAATGATACTAATGATAATAAGCGTACTATGAAGTATACGAATCATCTTAATAGTGTAATAAGAATGCGATTAATGATGATAAGAAGAAGAGTAATATCGTTAATATTACGAATTCTGAGAATAAGAAGACACACTTTTACAAATCATGTAACCAATCCCTGGGTGGGTCCCCGGCCGATTGAAAATTGAAATAGTCAATCGGCGACCTCAGTATTTGGGTTCAAAACCTCGGAATTGAATTCGGCCGCCGCCACTTCAATATTGGAGTTGGAAGCCCCAAATTGAAATATTGAAAAAGCTGGATTCCAGTATTGAAATATTGAAATATTGGAATTTCAATATCAATATTGAGCAATATTGGGTTTCAAACCCAATTTTGGGGGTCGACCTCCAATATTGAATGTACGAGGCCGTAGGCTGGGCCAGAGGAGAAAAGGGAAAAGCTCGCACTTCCCAGGGGAGAGACAACGGGCAGAGTGGGGGAGGGGGAGGATGTGGGGGAGGAGGAGGAGGAGGCCGTAGCATGAAAAGCACGCCCCGCCCAAAACAGTCCCCCGAGGCGTTTGGTGACCGTTTTGGGCCCGCCCGCCCAGAACAGTCACCAAGAGCCTTGGGTGAGTGTTTTGGGCGGGGCGGAGCCCCGCGGGCGGGACATTAAAGCACGACGCAGCTCTCGCGGTAGCAGGCGTTTGCTCTAGCGGGCCGGTCGGGTCGGGCGGGCGGGACCTGAAAGGTTGACGCAGCTCTCGAGGTAGCACGCGCTTGCCCTGGCAGACCCGTCGGGTCGGGCGGGCGGGACATTAAAGCACGACGCAGGTCTCGAGGTAGCGCGCGCTTGCTCTAGCGGCCTGGTCGGGTCGGGCGGGCGGGACCTGAAAGGTTGACGCAACTCTCTAAGTAGTACGCGCTTGCCCTAGCGGGCCGGTCGGGTCGGGCGGGCGGGACATTAAAGCACGACGCAGCTCTCGAGGTAGAGTGCGCTTGCCCTAGCGGGCCGGTCGGGTCGGGCGGGAGGGGCGTTAAAGGTTGACGCAGCTTTCGAAGTAGCACACGCTTGCCCTGGCGGGCCGGTCGGGTCGGGCGAGCGCCGGGTCGGGCGGGCGGGACTTTAAAGTCGGACGCGTCTGGCGAGGTAGAACGATCTTGCCTTTGTGGACCGGTCGGGTCGGGCGGGCGGGACATTAAAGTCTTCTCTCATACTTCCCCGCGCGCTCTCCTCCTGCAGCCTCTCGTTCTCTTTGCGGTTCCGCTTCCGCTGCCATGCCGGCTCAGTCTGTCTCAGGTAGTCCTTCGCGTCGGACGTAGCATAGGGTGGGCTCGTGAGCTCGGCGGGCTCGGCCGCGCCGACCGCGGCCAACGACCGAGCTGTCCGAATATGGGCGGGAGGGCCCCGAGAGAATCTCCTCCAGCTTCGATTGCACGTCCCGCGCGGCGTCGGCGAGCTGCTCAGCGTGGGGGGCGACGCTGACCAAGAGGGCGCTGGCGAGCCCCGAATCGCACGTCTGCTGCAGGCCCTGCCACCGCACGTACTGCCACGCATTGCGGTGACTCCGCGAGCGGCGGAGGGCCGCGGTAGCCGCGTGGAGACGGCGTTTCATTGCGATCGCCCCCTCCCGCGCTCACGAAGCGCCTCTCGGACACCGGCGTCCGCGTCATCAAGCGCTCCGGGCAACGCCTGAAGCGTCAGCTCGGCGCCAAGCTGAAGCTGCTGAAGCGCGCCCGCCTCGGCGGCGCATGAGCTGCTCCGAGCCGCTGCCCGCGGCCGCGGCCGTGAGTTGCCCGGGCAAGCGCCGAGGGGCGCGTCCGTTGAGGCACGCGGGCACGCCGTCGCCCCGGGGTCAGCCTGGCGCAGACGGCCGGCCGCGGGCCGCCTCGGCGCGCCCGTCCGAGCACCTGCGAGGCGAGGGTGCCAGATGCCGCCGCGCGGGGGGGCGAGCGCGGCGCCGGTGGCGCTCCGAACAGGACGGGCCCCGAGGAAACCTTCCGGCGGCCGCGGGTCGGCCGAGGAAGCGGGCTGGAGCGCGTTCGTTTGCGACGGGGCGCGACGGGGCAAAACCGGCAGGAGAAAAAGGGCAGGGGGAGGGGCGGGGGAGGGGGGTGTGCTGGAGGACAGGGGGAGGGAGGAGGAGGAGGAGGA